GGCCGCCTGTGTCTTCGGGGCCCCCGCGGCCGGGGCTCGGGGGCACGGCACCTCCACGGGCCGACCCGGGCGGGCTGTAGCTGCCCGGGAGCCTCGCGGGGCACCGCTCCCAGCTCGGGGGCGGCGGCCGGCTGCTGCTGCCAGAGGGAGCCCGGGGGGCGCGTGAGAAGAGCAGGGGGGATAAGAAGCGCGCGAGAGAAAGGCAGGCGGGGCCCTCGCCCGGGGGGCTCCCAGGCGGGTCCTTCGCCCGTGGGACTCCCCACTCTGCATCTGCACCTGCACGTCCACACGAGCGCGGGCCCCGGCCCCGAGGTTCACGAGGCCTCGAGGGGCAGGGGGTTGGAGCTTCAGCCCTGATCTGACCTGGAGCTCGTCTCTCTGCATTAGGGATGCATAACTGCCCAGAGCCCCGGAGGCATAAACCTGGAGCCAGGCATGCCTTAAATGGAGGTGTTAGCTGTGTGGCTCTAAGGACGCAAGTAGGCAAGGCTCTTCGGGTAAATCTGCTATCTTTTATTAGTCCAACTCATCTAGTTGGAACAGTTCTTCTTGGCAAGTTTTTGGGTGAGGCTGAGGAAGCGTCTGGGGATGGTCTGTGGGAGCCTGGGCGCTGACACAAACTCCCAGCTGTGGGATGACCACCCTGTAGTAGTGTACATGCAGTACATTGCACCCAGCGTACGTTTTTACAGTGCTTCAGTAAGCCTTGCTTGTAAAGCGCTTTGAATATTAAAAAGGGGTGCTGGTGGTAGCTGTGGTGGTCTAAGGACATAGGCAGACAAGGGTTTTGGAGGAATTTGTGATACCTTTTATTAGATCAACTTAATAGCTGGAAAAATTGTTCTTTGCAAGGTTTTGGGCACAAACACCCTTCTTCAGGCATACGGAGAGTCGGGTGTTTGTGCCCGAAAGCTTGCAAGGAACAATTTTTCCAACTATTTAGTTGGTCTAATAAAATATAATATCTACCCAAAGAATGTTGTCTGCCTTGATTATTAAAAGGCATTTTGAAAGAGTAAATAGTTACACTCATAGAATGGGGTGCAACTACATCTATAATTCCCTCAAAGAGTTTCACTGGTGCTGACTTCATTCAAGGCTAGAATTGGTCGTAAAAGGACATCTACACTTCACCTTATTTTGCTAAGTTTTGTTCCTTTTCTCTCAAAATTTGCTCCACAGAGTGTTCTATTTTTAAAAGGTTTGCTCCAAAAGACACTTCTGTCAGCGATTTGTTTAGGAAGATTTTCTTTTTAGTTGCAACTTACTTCCCTCAAAACAGGCCCCAATTCTGTTGCAAGTTTCAATAATCGCTGCCCCTGTGTGAACTATAAAACCATATTTTCAAAGGGCTTCAGAACAGACACTAGAACAGTGCCTGTTGTTTTACCAATGAACATTTTTCAGCACATTTTTTTTCATGCCTATGATTTTCTACCTACTAAATCTTATAATAACATGTCAATTTATAATGATATATGCAAAAAATACAAACAGATTTAAGTACTATTTCTGTAAATACAGAAGTCTTTTGCATGTACCAAAGTTAGGTGTGAATTTATATATGTAGAGGAAAAAAGAAAGAAAAGCACTTGCATAATGATGTGTGTAGCTTGATTATAGGCAGAAAAAGTTCTTTGGGTAAATCCGGTATCTTTTATTAGACCAACTTGTGCACAAACACCCTTGTCAGGCTAGATTGGTTATAAAAAATTAACTAATTAAAGTTATTAATCAACCACTTAAACAGCATATTAGCAATTTAGAAGAAACTAGCAGACAATTATGGTAACAGTTATAGAGTAGCAACAAAACATTTCATTAGCTACAAAACATTATAGATACTCTGTATGGGACCCTGATATTTCAGACGTGCATTAGCTCAACTGAAATTAATTTAAAAATCTGTTTTATATAAGATTTAACTATGGACTAAATTCTAAACCCTGTGCTTCCAATGTCTGCACATAACTTCATATTAGATAATCAGTATTAGGACACTTTCCCAATTTTACATAGCTATATATATTGTTCAATTTGGAGATCTACTGGATTATCTGAATCCTTGTTGCTCTGCTTTGGAGTTGATATGCTTGTATTGAGATTACAGGAGAAAGATTAAAAAAAAAACAAACAGAAAAAAACAGTTCTAACCATATGCTGTAAAATGCATACTTATATGAGAATATAACTAGGAAGAGAGGTCCCTTTGGTGCATTTGCCAGGTGGGAGGGTTGTCTTTCACCAACTCAACTCCTGGGAGCTGATTGCCTTTTAAATCTCTCCTCCTTTTTGTAATCTGCAGTGGAGCCCTGTGTGAAATTTGTCACTACTTTGCTTTCCTTGTTCTCACTTGCATATTTCTCTGTCTTTTAGAAAACCTGCACAAGGATGCAGCACTGCCCCTAAATCGACACTTGAGCTGAAGCAGATCAGTCATTGCGCCAACCATTCAAATCTTACCCAATCCACTGAATTCAGAATAATAATGCCTTTGGGACACTTAGCCAAAGAGGCCAGCCTAGAAGACCTTCTTGAAGCCTGCATTCAGTCTTTCGGTGAGTGCCTTATTTGAAACAATTTTTATGTTGCTACAACAGAAGTTTAGGTAACTTATCATTTGTGGAAGATTAGGGCTAGGAATTATAAAAACAATAAATGATCATTTGTATTTTATAGCTATGTATCTGTGTGTTTGTGACTCTCTCTCTCTCTCTCTGTCTCTCATATATGGTGCGAATGATAATTTTGCTGTTCTTTCTTGGATGATGACCACTAAGTATAGTAAAGTTGCCATGCATTTTAAATTATTTTTCTGTTTTTCTTACTCTAAACACTGAACTGAAGTACTTTTCATATGGATGGATTTTTAAAAACTGAAGTGTTGCAAAATGGAGAGTAAAATGTATGTAAATAGTATGTTTATAATATTTGTATTATTACATGCTGGGTTTTTGACTGCAACCAAAAATCCAGCATGTTTATAACATCCCTTTTGGAAATCAGGAGAATTATTTGGTGGATTATGTGTATTGAAGTAGGAATGCTTTTTATTCTATCAGTAGAGAGATTTAAAATCAGATCTATTGTGAAGGAAAAAAAGTATCTAGATGAAAAACCCAAATGCGTAACTTCTAGCTTATGAATTATTCATCTATTTACTCTTTCACCAGCAGAACTGCTATATTGATGAGCACCATCAGAGATGTATAAAGTAGGCAATGCCACTTTGAAAATAAAGTGTTTGCTAATGAAAACAGAAAACATCTTTGTTATTTTATTAAAACACATCGTGCCAGGAGGGTTTCAAAGCCCTTACAAAGAACAAAGATTGAAATACTTCAAAAGATTTCTGATAATTTATTTTTAAATGCTATAGTTCTTTCTTGACATTAAAATAGCATTTTTCTTTATCACTGTTTCACTCTATCCATATTTTACCTTTCCATGCCAAAGTCTCGTTATTTCAACTGCAACAGAAGTCTGTGGCATCTCATTTATTTACAGAGTTCATGTCTTTAAAACTATATGCAAGTTTTAAAGCCCAATGTTTTAACATAGGGAGTAAATTGAGAGGAACACCGCTTTTTTTCCCCCTAAGCATCTAATGAGTTGCTTTTTATCCATTACTGAAAATAGAACAGCTAAAGTTTTTTGTTTATGCACATACGTAAGGTGAGTTACAGTTGGGTTTCCTTCTAGCACAGGATTTATAGGAGTTAAAACAATCATGCTTAGTGGTGATATGGCTCTTTAGCTTCAAAGCATTAAGCAAACAGCTCCCTGCTTGAGGCGGGGGGCAGTCCTTACCAGGCTTTTGCCCCCCTGCTCCCTGCCTGGGGCTGGCATGCTGAGGAGGGGGGAGTGGGGTTTAAGCCCCCTCCCTGGCCAGTATGGGACCCCAGCCCAGGTCAGTCTGGGGGGGCTGCCTCTGCCTAGTTGTTGCCTTTTTTGCCCACAGCCCTGCTTTCTGCTCAAGTAGAAGTGTTGCCATGCCCCCTGCTCCCAGCCCGGGATTGGCATGCTGAGACAGTTGAATAAGGCAGGGTTTAAACCTCCTCCCTGGCCTGCATGGGACCCCAGCTGGGGTCTGCCTGGGGATGGGGGAGTGCAGCCCCTGCTAGTCCTCTGCCCCCTCCCCTGCTTGAGGAGGAGGGGGCAGCCCCTGCCAGGGTTTTGTGTCCCCCCTGTCCCAGGGTGCTGGCCCCAGGTCAAGGCCTGGCCACTCAAGTGGAGAGTAGAGTGCATGGCCAGGCCTTGACCTGGGGCCAGCACCCTGGGACAGGTGGGAAAGGTGTTTAAACTTCCTCCCTGGCCCAAACAGGACCCCAGCTGGGGTCTGCCAGCGGGGGGTGGGGTGCAGCTCTTGTCAGGCTTGCCTCTGTTCCTCGCTTCAGTGGTGGACATGGCCACGACCTGGCCCAGGGCTGGCACACTGAGGCCCGAGGGGATGGGGGTTTAAATCCCCTCTATGACCTTCCTGTCTCCTGCTGCTCCTTGCTCAAGTGAGGACAAGCCTGGCAGTCACTGCCTTCCCTTCCCTCCCCACCCCCCCACTCCCAGGCAGACCTAGGTTTGGGTCCCATTCAGGCCACGGGGCGGGGGTTTAAACCCCCCTCCACTCCCATCTCAGTGTGTAGGCCTTAGGCCAGGGCATGGCCATGCTCTCTGCTTTAAGCAGGGAGCCAGGAATGGGGGCAAAAGCCTGGTAAGGGTTTTCCCCACTGTCCCTCCCAGGCAGACCCCAGATGTGGTCCTGTGCAGGAGGCAGGGAGCCAGGGAAGGGAGGACAAAAGGGCAGGGGCTGCCCTTCCCCAGGCAGCTGGGTGGGATCCTCTGTGGGCCACGGAGAGGGTTTCAATCCCCCTATCTCCCTGCTTCAGTGGGGCTGGCCATATCTGCCCGCCCAAGCAGGCAGTGGGGGGAGAGCCTGGCAGGGGCTGTTTGACCCCTCCCCCAGCCAACCTGGACTGCAGTTCCATGCAGGCCAGGGAACGGGTTTAAACCCCCTCCCCGCAGTGTGCTGGCCCCGGCTGGGGCCTGGCCACACCCTCTGCTCTGTAAATGGGGAAAAGCCTGTAAGGGGCTGTTGCTTCCCCTTCCCCCAGGCACTCCTGAACTGGGGTCCGGACCTGGGTTCCCCCAGCCCCACCGCCCTCTCAGCTAGCCGAAGCAGTCACAGTGCTTTTGCTAGGGAGCAGACAGGTGGGGCCAACCCTGCTTGGCTGGAGCAGATAGCCCAGCCCAGCCCAGCCTAGGGCTGCAAAGCATCTTGGAATGCTGGGGGACCGTGAGTTAACTTGAACCAGGAAGGGATCTGGGACAAAAGTTCCATAATTCGGTTTGACCTAAATCAGTTAAGTCTGATACTACATCCATCCAGGTTTATCTTAAACCAGTTTCAGGCATGTTGAAAACGGTTTAAGTGCACTGAACTTCTGTTGTTACAGATTTTAACTGGTTTCATAGTCACTTAACCCAGTTTGTGTGTAACTTCTGTCCCTAGCCACAATGCCTAATACTCACAACACCCATGTAGGAAGTCATGAATTGTTACTTATATATACTGATTATATGTTTGCAGATAAAAACATGTGTCTGTGGGGGGAAGAATTGGTGACAACCATGAATAATGCTGTATTCCTCCTCCACTCCTCTATCCCAACCAGTTTTAAATGAACACTGACTGTTACTTCTTTTGAGGAAAAGAAGTCCACCAAATCACTATAAAAGACTTGGTTCCTGCAAAACATCCTGACCATGTTTATCTCTCTCTCTAGATCAAGTGAACCAAACAAAGTGCTAAAGTAAAAGTGACACCTGTATAAAAGGTTTACATCTTAGCTAATTGATCGGTCTCATCTTAATTTGTATCCAGGAAAGGATTATAAATGTTATATTTTGAAAGCTGGCGGCAACTTTTTTGCTCCAAATACTGTGGGTAAAACCCTGATTTCACTGACACATCCAATATTTCTGTTTATTTTGGTCTGCAGCATATTTTTAAAAACTAATTTTAGGGCATATCATAATCCTTATAAATAAATAGCAGTGTGTATGCAACCTTAATTTTATAAGGTTTATGGAATGGCTTGTTAGTGAGAAATTATGCTGTGTACTGTAGCAATCCAAACTCTCTCTCTTCCATTGTCTGAAGTGATGCAACTCTGTGATGTCGTTCTTTGGCCTATATGTTGTTTTTTCTTCTTGACACTGTGCTGGTTCTTAAAATATCTGGGATTTCCCAGTAGAGTATTTAAATAAGTCACAAAATGAGGCTGGTACAATTAGATAACCTACTTAAGGAAGTTGCTTACAGAGTTCTTTTTGTTGGTATCTACAAACATTTTGCAAAACAGTCTCACTGGACTCCATTGCAGTCTAGGAGAAGAGCTAGCAAGTTCTTATCTAAGATCTCATATAAAAAGGTTGGCTTTTAATTTGTAGAAGTACATTAACAGATTAAGCAAGATTTTCTCTCCGCATGATATTGGAGTACATGTAGTCAGTTACTTTGGACAATCGGTTTTATTCCATTTAAAAAATATTTTCTGTCCACATCTAAAAACTCACGTTGGAAAATGCTCTTATGTTTTATAATGTTTCACAAGGTTTCTATCTTATGATATTTAATTATTTATTTTGTATATAAAGTAACCAAGATATCCAGTGCTGTGATATTTTACATTATTATTCAAGATATTTTAATAACAATCCTATGAATTACTGTCCTTCAAATATTATGTAGAAAAAGTGCTATTTATATGTTCCCTATTTAGAAACCCTCCACCCCAGCATATTACCATATCCAAAACATGCCATACAATGTGCCTTTAAATGCATGGTACATGTTATGTTATGTCATTTTTTTGGTTAATATTTTTATTGCACTGGTTCTTACAGGCCACACTCATGGATCAGATCTACACAGTGTTCATCACTGTGCCATTTAAAAAAACCTGATTTGTACATGTGACTAATGGACAATAATGGGTAGCGTCAACTGAAGTGTAAAGTTGACAGGCTTATGCCATGAAGGAGAAGATAATTAAGGGAGAATCAAGCCAGGCAGTTGTATTATGCCATACATAACCAGGAAACAGATGTCACATTGCTGAAACATTGATCAAGGAAAGTATCTTTTGCAGCAGTGTTTTGAATGGATTTAAGACTGGGAAGCAAACAGACTTGTCAAGATGAGAAAGGAAAAAGTTGGAGTACTTAAGATGTACAATATAGAGGATTTGGACTGAGCCAAAAATGCTAGATCGTGGAGAGCCTTAGGATGAATTGGACAGATTTATACAGAGTCTTCATGTTAAAAGTATAAATCCAGGTAGGGCTTGGTTAAAGACAACACCAGATTGTGAACCTGCATGGCAGGAAGGATGGTGCTGTTGTGCAGGGTGACTGAAAAAATGGGGAAAAGTGGGTCTGAATGGGAAACTTAAGCTGATAGCTGTAAAAAATGTAGGATGAATTTTTAGTTTGGAAGGAATGAGGGAGATCTGAAGTGGAAAGATGAGTAAGAGTCATTAGCGTTATGTTAATACTTCAA